GGCATAAACTCGTAATGAGTTTGATTTGCTGATTAAATAAATAAAATGTCTACATAACGTCATGCTTCACGAAACGTTATTACATTTAGATATCTCACTATCAGTTTGTAGCAATCATCTTAGCCAGTTTGTTCAATACGATTCTTCGGCTCACACCTCCACGATTTTCGGTCTCCCATTAATCTTCATATTCAACATTGCCCGAATCAATTTGAACTTTTTCCTTCAATCAGTTGAATAAAGCCTCTGAGGTCATCTACTCATCAATCTCATTAATAAAAAAATATCTCCACATTATTATTAGTCAACGAGTGAAAAGTAGTCCACAAGAAGGACCTGAACCCACCGTCCTCTTACGTACCAGATATCGCTCTAATCGACTGAGCAGCTGCGAATTCCGTCCTCTTGCAATATTTCCAGTCTTCTTCAACTCATAATAATACCACCTGTGAATAGTTTGATGGGTAAGGGAACTTTCCAATTGGTTTCAAGCATTAAATAATAATGATCTGTATGAAAAGAAAAGCTTTTAAACTGTTGAAAATAAGCAATAAATAAGATTAGAAGAACGTTAAATTTGACGTTGTCGGCAAGCAGAATTACGTGTGTCCAATGGCAATGTACTTAATTGTAAGAGGTATATAGTCAAATAAACCAGTTTTAAGGTCATACATTTAGAGGTCACATTCACGAGCAGCATTCAAAAAATCAGTTGATCAACCGCAACATATCAAACGACCTGTGAAATTAGACTTGATAATTTCAAAAAATGCCTATCGATCATCATCTCAGTCCACACAGATATTGCTTCAAAGCANTTAGACTTGATAATTTCAAAAAATGCCTATCGATCATCATCTCAGTCCACACAGATATTGCTTCAAAGCATCACCAAACCAACGCAACGCAATTATTTATTCTATATTACTGGCTTTATTTGGGCGGATAAGTGAACAATGATCAACACAGCAATAATATCACATAAAAACTATTACAGTTGTTATTATGATGTATAATACATTTCCGCAGTATTATCAATCAGATGTTTATTGCAGTGCGTCAAACTCTTTCAGCAATAAAAGTGAGCACTTTCTGAGGCAAAATTTAACGACTAACTGAACGTAACGGTCATAACAATTTGATGGGCCGATTGAAATAACTGCTGAAAATTTTTGATAGAATCTGCTGACACATTTCTCTTATTATTGCTTTTCAGCCATATGCTTCATTCCAATTATTTTCGGGGTTTCTCTTTGAGTTTCGAAATCACCCATCACGTTTTTGCAGTAATTAAACGATTTTGATAGATCAAAGAGAACTTTCTGATGTTGACCCGTACCTCCATTTCACACTCAATCCGAGACAAACTTTCAAATGAAAATAATGAAAATGAAACCAGTCGAACGAAATCGACAATCAATAATGATTGTGCAGTACAATACTGAGATTCTAACCAAATTGCATATGTATACAAACCCTTCCCCTTAAATATAATAAACAAATTGCTTAATGTTCACTTTGTGACTTCGCCTGCCGTTCGGCTTCTTCACGTCGTATTCTAGCGAGTGTTGGGTCGGTGATTAGATGCAAATAGTGATGATTTACGTATCTTGCCAACTGAAA